ATTTTGTATTCCTGTGCCGCTGATACCAATATTTACGGGTCTGCTGGAAAAACAATACCACAAGTCGCAAGTCTTTATAGCCCGATCAGGAGGACACAGTTGAGTGATGCAGGGAAGAATAACTCTACGTCTCTCAAAGCTTCTTTGGAGAAGTAAGAGAGTGTCGAAATTGAGCCACTGTAATTGCTTTTTTTCGTGGGACAGTTTTGAAAGGCTATTTAAAACACTTAAAATATGAAATATCACATTTCTTTTATATCATTTGGAAGTCTTATTTAATGTATTTTATGGCTATACTATTTTTAAATTACTAGAATCCCCGAGAAAGAAGGAATAACACAATTTATGAGTAGAAATAGAGTTAGGACGCGCCACCGCTATTAGATTTTGGGTCTTTGAAAAATTTTTTAGTACATAAAATAACTACCTATTGTCCTGAAGACTTTGCTATCGTGTAAAACGCTGTATAAACTATATACAGAAAAAAAATCATCGCTCTAGTTACATTTCTCCCATCGATTCTCAGCTCCGCCGCGTAAAAAACGTGTTTGGGATATTCACCCACATAATTATTTTTTAAATATAAGTTAAGATTTAACTGGATTCTATGCATATTAAACGCGACCTTATTAAAACTAGGATTTACATTTAGTAATTTGGCCAGCGCCGCTGTGGTAGTGGCACTCATTTTTTTACACTTTTTTGTAGACAGTTCTTGTATCATAAAATATAGCAGTTGTACTACATTCTTCTTGTAGTGAATTCGTCTACATCGCAAGTTTGAATCTTGTCTAGAGTTTGATTCCAGGGTTAAACTAATCTAATGTTCATAGGTAAAGTTTATGAGCTTTAAAAATGAACTTTCTGTGACGAAACGAAACAAAAGCTAGTTTAAACCATAGGCCGTCCACCAATACCTCGCGCTCCGCTCCGCGTTACGCTCAGCTTATGGCATAGATCACTGCCTAAAGTACGTACCAGTGGGGACTCGGATTGTGTGAAAAATAAGTTATAGCTGACTCGGTAAAATCTGACAGCCTTTTTCATTTACCTGAAACAAGTATTTCGCCTTTGTGTGAAATAGTAGATTTATGTCAGTAATGAGATGCCGCCTTTGACTTCTCTGTGATAAATCGACCATTAATGGCGGGGTGGGACATTTCTAGGACAATCTCAGATAATTTATTATAACGATAACACAGCTTCAGAAATTTAACACAATTTGTTACATAAACACATGAATATGTAAATATAAAATACGGCCTAGCTAGACCTTTTGTTAAACATAATTTTGTCCTCTAATTAATACAGGTTTGCTTAATATTTAGGTAACAAATAACATTTTACACACAATTAAGGGAAGCGCAAACTAATGTAATCCTAACACCGATAAAGCACAATAAGAATATTTAGCTATTTACTTGAATAAGATTTAGAATTTTTGGTGAACTGAGACCGACTAATTTCGGATTTTATCTGTAAAAAAATCCAAAAACCTTCAATTACATCCTTAAAAATCAAGCTGTATCGACACTTTATCCCTTATTCAAATGTTGTCCCGACTTAGTAAACCCGCCATTTGTAAACGGGGACCAGCCCATCCCCATTTAGTCACTTTCATTTTAAAGTGTTCCCATTTTAATCTTCGGGTCATCAAGTCGTTTTTATTGCGGCAGGAATATCCAATTAAACGTTAGAGGTGGTCGTAAATTTGGGAACGCAAACCTACGGGACCTTTCGATTCCCCCTTTCATTAAATCGATTATGCCCCGTGTTTGTCCTCCTTTTATGGAGGTGAGGACTTTGATCGCGAAATTGCTTTAAAAACAACAGGTTGACCCCGCTCTTCAATCAGGGATCCTTACAGAGAGCTCATTCAGTCGTCGATGGGTTTTCGTTGATCATTTTCCCTTGAAAGATCGTCTTAAATGAGGATATTTTATATGAGTTTTTACTGGAAATGACAACGGCATGTTTACATCGTATTCATGGGTATTTTATATAATCATAATATACCCAAGTATTTCTACCTACAGGGTGGAAACGATAAGTGATGATAAGTGTGAAACTTTAGAAATAATCGACTGATGCCCGTTTTCAGTTAAGTAATTAATACTAATTTTTAAGTGACCCCTATGGTAAAACATAACAGGAATTTTGTTTTCATACGATGACTAATTGACATTAGGGATTGATGGTGAAAACGGGCATGAGATCACTAAATGTAAGGAAACTGAAAATATTGAATATTCAGATTTATTCCATTTGATAGAGCTCGCGAAGCACTTTCAGGATCGTCGTTTAGAAATAATCGAGTGAGATCACGTATCGTTTTCACCCTGTATATGAATTCAAGTGCCTATGACTAACATCGTATGATTTAACATCGTACATGCCTTTGATACGTATCTAGATAAATTGATCTTTGGTTTTTACTGTGTGGTAACATACAGACGTGCTGTCACATCACTATACATATTTGTTGAAAAATCGCTTTTATTACAACTACAATAAGTTGCCACAGTGTTTACATTGATGTAAGTCGTCTTTACAAATAGCTAGCCCTGCTGGCCCGTGAGGTTAATAAGGTTTGAAATATTGATGCTTCCCGGTAGTAGAAAGTAGATCATAGTTCAAATATGAGCATTATTTCTAAGAACTTCAGATAATATGAAATCACTGGAACTATGATTAGATTGTACATATTTTAGTACCTATAAGTAAACATCTGTTTATTGGTACAACGAAATGTAGTTAATAAGAATTCTAACTTAAGTTAGAACATCTTATTATATTGTTCTGAGAACGAAATAAACTATTTTGAGACCTATGAATAAGGTCACAAACTTGGTAAATTTATTTATTGAGCTATCAGCATGAGATACAATATTAAACACAACAAAAAATTTAAGCCAAAGGTCTCTAGATTAATTTTTTGATAGCCTTAGCCATAAGGACTATACACACCGAGCCCGGACACAGCCCGGTGTCGGCGGCTTTATTTCAAAAGAATCATGTCGACGACTTAAGCTGAGTTGCACCACTTATCTTTGACCGTAACTTCAACGATATCCGGTGTTTTTTGTGTGGAGTTTGACAGATTTTTGACGTTTCTCAAAGTTAAATTAAAATGGTGCAACCCAGCCTTAAACTTTCTGCGACTTATAACAACATAACAAAAGTCGACGACTCTTGTCGAGTTGGCAGGTTTGGTGTGTAAACTGCATCAGACTGACCTATCTATACAGCAATTAATTCGGACAGAAAAACTCTTACCAATAAATTAGACAAAGCCCCAAAACTCCGTATTCATAATAAATGAATTTTGCCTCGTTAATTAATATAAATAAGGCTCATAATTTACACGACCGCGCCGAGGGAAAGGGTCGCGATAGGTGACAGGTAAGCTTGTCTTATTGAAATAAACGACTTGTGACCTCCGGGGTCGCTTTACTCTTCACATACGACTCACAATTATGCCCTTATCATATTTAGCATAAGGGTGAGAATTCGCCACCCAACACGGTTGGTTGGGCCACCCCACAAGGGCTGATACCTCGACAGCATGTCTTAAATTTATCCAAGCGTAATTTATACTCATTGAATATGTACGGAGGTGCTGCGATCTTTCACACTGATCTTAGATTGGGGTCTCACGATGTTTGTTGAAACCTTGTTGAGCTCTTTATTGTGTTGCGGTGAGGTTTCCTCCTTAGCAATTAAAAATATTGGTGAAATACGTTTTCATTATGAGTGACCCTCCACAAGCCACTGCATAATACCCTTTGATAAAGAACTAATGCAAGACACGTACCTGTTCCCTCCTTGTGTACCCTCAGCTTTCTTAGCAACTTTGAAGGAGGTCTGTAGCTGCACTCTACCTTTTGCTATATGTACAGCACCTTCAGACACATTTTTATTGCATAATCACACCTATTACAAAAAGATAAGGTGTAACAATGCTTAACATGATGTACCGTCATCCTGAACATCTAAAAATCACCCGGAACTAACGAATAGCCCGGATCCAATGCGTCGTTCAAACAATTTCCGAAGATCACATTTGTTAGGGTCCGCCCGTCCGATCCGGATGCTTTCCGGATGCTTGTAGTCCGGGCCTAAGCCCTGCACATCCGTAGTACCTTGTATGAATGGCATTATTTGACGCCATGATAGACATATTTACTACATGTGATACATACACCCATAGGCATAATGAGTAAGGGACTTGTAAATCTACAACAAAAGCACTGACTTTTTACTGTCATCTGTTCTGTTGAGGTGTTGACCCTGTTTTTGTATAGGTGATTAACTGAGTAGGTACCTACTTGGCCATTATTGTAAAGAAAAGAATGCTGCTGTTTACAAAACTGGCTCATTATTTTCCTTTATATTTAATCTAGAATGTGGAGTTAAATACTGTTTTGTTTCATATCGCGTTATTTTACAATAATATTGTGCTATTTAATTTAATATTGTAAAATTAAATGTATAGAATTAGCAATAAAGATATCTCAAAAGATCCCCTATTCCTCATCCACTTTATAATATTTATTAAATAAAAACACCTCTTAAATGGATCAATGGGTCAACAATGGTAGCACTTCGGAAGCCCATTTTCTTATAACTGCCTGCCAGAGGTAAGGAGCTTTTACAGCAAAGAAGCGAGTAGATAAGTGGTCTATTAAGTAAAGTGAACAATGTTACACCCTATCGCTTAACAACCTTTAAAATATTCACACCAATCCCCGATGGGGGTTGTTTTAATATTGAAAACTCTCAGAAATTAACAACACATTTTTATTGTAAAAAATCAAACATGAATGACAGCTATGACATTGACATTCAGTTCCGAAACCATAAATAAAACATCTTCCCCCCGAAATTACAAATCTAATCGGTTAGGTGGTTTTACTACCCTGCCACTTCTAGTACAATAATTATTATCATAGACAACATCTCTTGGTGGAGATACCCGAGCAGGGGACGAAATCATTGGATCAGAATTCAGTGTAGTATTGTCTTCTGTAGCCCTGGAATCATCATTATAATAACTTGTCTTAAATTGCTTAGTGTTTGAAAAAGATTTTTTTAAATGATTTGTAGTTCTACGGATTGGAAAGCTCCCATCTCTTTCCACCCAGTATGACCTAGGCTCTTTACATTTCTTTACAATTTTACCCTTTTTCCAATATTCATCCTTTCCTGTACGATATACCACTTCATCACCAATATTAAATTTAACCTCTTTTTTTCTGACTGACCTATCAAATTTAGATTTATTTATAGACTGCTTCAAGATTAACAATTTGTGTATATTTTTAATAACAACAGGCTCCAATGCTTTTTCAGTAATTGGTACAAGTGTTCTCATGGTTCGACTATTTAATATTTGTGATGGAGATACTACCATTCCAGCCAAAGGTGCATTGTTATATGACATTACATATTCTCTATAGTCCACACTATCCTCTGCAGCTTTCTTTAAGATATTCTTGCTAATGTCTACTGCTTTTTCAGCCATNAAAAAAAACAACCCCCAAGGGTGGAAAATTGGGGATGAACTTTTTTATACGCAATATCTCCGCCGATTATGAACCAATTTTTTTTTTGGTCTCAGTGTACTGCCTACCTTCAGTGGTAACATCAAGGTAATAATTAGTTAACTAAAAAGCAAGAAATAAGTAAAATTTTATAAAAAAAAATAAAACCGACTCCAAAAAACCTACACTAAAACGTAGAAAAATAATTACTAATTACCTACTTATTTATTAGGACGAATTATTAATATTTACTAGCTGACCCGGCGAACTTCGTACCGCCTTAGCGTAGAGATTTTCTTAATATTTTTTTCCGTAAGAACCATCCTTGGACTTCCACAAACATTTAAAAAAAAGAATTATCGAAATCGGTTCAGCCGTTCACACGTGATGCCGTGACAACGCGAAACGGGTTTCATTTTTATATATATAGATGTAGGTATACCATGATTGATACTTTTGGAGTCGGTGCAGGCAAACTTTACATGTTTCATAATCTTGGCACCGACTCCAGAAGTATCAATCATGGTATACCTACATAATTGAGGACCAACAAGTAACGATCAGATATAATTTTTACATCTCAAAAATTTTTTGCGTAGTTCAAAAGAGGTTTAAATATCGATCGATTTCATTTATTTTATGTCTCAAAGAAAGAGGATCAATCATTAAAATAGATGACCATTTAGATTTTTTTATTTGCCGTTTTTGCTAATTTAAAAGGATCATTTAAATACATGCCGAAAATAATTACCTGGTAATGCGTCTGTATGTAGTCAGCGAGGAGAGGATCGTCCTTGTGCTTGTCGTAGACCAGTGAATCACCGTGGGAAATCAACTCCGCCGCGTCAGGGGCGATGGCTCCCAGTTGGTTCTTTAAGATCTGTTCCAATGAAAAAGAATAAAAAATATTAACAGAACTCACTTTTAGGTTTAGCATTTAACTCAGTCATTGTCTGAGATAAGGAAGCGGTATGGGAGGGAGTTTTTGAGACGTCAAACGACAGTGAGACTTCAGATTTATATCTTCTGTCGTGTCATATTATGTCAATGTCTTCCTTCGTGCCGCTCCCATAGCTCAGGCACTGACTGAGTTACGCTTTTAAACTATAGGTTTTTTTGTGCATAAATGTTTATGAATTAAAACTCTAGTAAATACAAATAGTTCGGTATGGTACCTCGAGCCGCTTGCCGGGGTCGCGCTCGGCGGCGGCGGCGGCCAGCGTGAGCAGCATGACGTCCATGCGGCGGCACATGGCGGCCGCGCGGCCCGCCCACGCGCACGCGCCCGCGTCCGCGCCGCGCCCGAACCGCGCCCGCAGCGCGCCCGCCGCCGCCTCCGATTCCGCGGCTGTCGCTGCAGCTTCTGCTGCAGTCGGCGTGGGGGCGCTTTCCACGCTCTAACAAATCATAAAGCTTGCTATACAATCCTGTTCTTCTGATTTCGTTGCGGGTTAAATGACAGTTTTACTTTCCCCCGGAACAAACTGTTTGGACTTTTAAGCCATAGATCCTGGCTATGCTAGACTTGCAGCGGTGGGAGTCCAGAGAAGGCCTCGAAAATACTAATCAATCTACAAAGGCATACAAAAATGCTAATGCATAGAGCTCCACCTTCTGACTGTATTCTAGCAAATAAATTATTGAATTTGAATTTGACAAAGACATTCAGAGACATTACTGCTACTAAAATGACAACGTGAACTGCAAAATAAATTGTATCCACTTTAAAAGGTATTCAATACACAATATTCAATTGTTTATTGCTGAACCACATTAGCACATTCACATTCTTACAGTTTAAGCAGTTATAGTTGTGGGTAGTGCAGTTATTCAAGTGGAACATAATCAAAAGCTACTCACATCGTCAAAGTTGTCGGTCCTCTGGTACTTCTCGGCGACGGGGCTGGCGACAGGCGATGGCGGAACCGGCGACACGGGCGAGGCGGGCGCCTTGTGCGACACGCCCACCACCGTGGCCGCGCGCACCGGCGTCGACGAGCACAGCGGCGCGCCCGGCGACGCCGCCGTCTGCAAGCGGGCACGTGTGACACGAGGATCATGAGGATGATCCCGCGTAAGATTGTTCATTTGAAAAATCGAATATACTTTCTTTAAGCGATTCCGCTACGGTTTGTGTATCTCAATCACTGTCTCAACACAAAGTCGCATAAATCTAAATTATAATGTATATGTCAACGTGAAATTGTGAACTCTGTCAGTTTACAATATAACGCGTTAGATTGCAAACTAACAGTGGGTTAGGTTAGGTTAGATTGTTAGATTCACAATTTTACGGTGACTAACTCAAAGGTGACTGACTGACATAGTGATCTATCAACGCACAGCCCAAACCACTGGACGAATCGGGCTGAAATTTGGCGTGCAGGTAGATGTTATGACGTAGGCATCCGCTAAGAAAGGATTTTACGAAACTCCACCCCTAAGGGGGTAAAACGGGATCCACGCGTACGAAGTCGCGGGCGGCCGCTAGTAATGGTTAATACGAAACAAAATTCGATAAACATCATCATAATTTCTGCCACAAGACGTCTACTGCTGAACATAAGCCTCCCCCAATAATATCCATATTGACCGCTTGGTAGCAGCCTGCATCCAACTTCTTCCCGCTACCTTCATGAGGTCGTATGTCTACTTTGTGAATGGACGTCACACGCTTCGCTTTCTGATACATGGCCTCCAACCCTTATCATTTCGGTACTAAACTATACTATGTATTTTCTACGAACACTGACCAGAATGACCCGATATTGCACATATTACAAATACCAGTGTTTAGCTTGGTATACCTTAGTGACTCTAGTTTATACATATACTATGGGCCACACTTCCGGCTACCCATTTCGGGTCATGTCATCTCGTTCTATAGCAAAGAATCGTCATTTGATGAGATCGAGAGAAAGAACGGAAATGGGTAGCTAACTGTGGCCCACTGTACGTGTTTCGTTACAATGCGAACTCCTTACCCGAGACAACCTCACATTGAAATGTTTAGACGATTTCAGGAATAAAAAATCTAATTGGCATTATAATTCGTATTCAAATGCATGTCACATACGAGTATTAGCTATGCAAACAATCAACTAAAAGTATTCTAAAATTACCTGAGCAGTTTCTTCGACTTCGGAATAAATCGCCTCCTCTTCGTGATCGTTCGAGGTCGTTTCGTTGTCGGCCGACTTAGCACTAGAATCGGATGGGTATGTATACTCTGGGACGTCAACTTTCTCCTCCGCTTTAGCAGTATCAACCTCTTTAGTCAAAGGACTAGACTCCTCAGTCGAAGGAGAAGATTCCTTAGTTGAAAGACTAGCTTCCTTAGTCGATGGAATAGATTCCTTAATCGACGGACTAGATTCCTTAGTCGATGGGCTGGAGTCCCCAGTTGATGGAATAGACTCAGACACAGCATCCTCGAGAATTAGATATTCGTTGGCCTCATCCTCTCTTACGTGCTGAATGTTACGTTTAAGAGCCGCGTCGTCCAGTGGAGACATATCTCCCTCTTCCATTGGAGTACAGGGAGGAGTCTGGGTGGAAAAGTCGAGGTCGTTCCGTTTCTCAACCGAGGGGATCAAGTCGGGAACATTCGCATTATCTTCAGCGCTCTTTCGCATGATAACACCGAGGGTGGGCCGCATGCGCTGCTCCAGTGTACGCACTTCAACGACAAAGGTCTTCGGCTCCGAGCCCAAATCTACCGACGGGCGCCTATTGACTTCCTGCTTCTCTTCCGAATCCGAGGAGGCACTGGCCGAATCACCCTCCGTATCGTCTACTATTTCCACGGTCTCAACTCTCTGCGGGACAAATTCCACCGCCGTCTCAATGTTGCTTGCTGGCTCGGGCGAACTTACGGTCGCTTTTACGATTTCGTGTTCTTTTATCGCCACCACGTGGCACGGAGATACTTTCGGTTTCTCATCTAGAACTGGCTTAGGTTCGGATGGCTCGATTTTATTTTTCGATATCTGAGTGAACAGGTCGCTGTCCTTCAAGAGATTAAACGTGCTGCTGTCTTTCTTGGGCGTCCCGGGCGTGGAGGGGAGGGACGGGGGCGGCTCTATGGAGTCGAAGGACATGCCGCTGACCAGGCTGTCGGCGCAGGGGCTGTCGGCCTTGGACTTGGCCCGCTCGAGCGAGGAGCCGCGGCTCCGGCAGCCGCCCTCCTTGACCTCGCGGCGGATCGGCACCGGACTGTTCAACGCCAGAGGTATTTTTGACTTTTTCAATTCCGGTTTCTCGGTGTCGGGCGTGTCGACGGGACTTTCGAGCCGACGTTTGATCGTGTCCGTCACTTTCTCGTATTCGAGCGCTTCCTCTTTGACCGGGCGAGCGGCGGCCTGCAAAGTACAAACCGGTCACTCGGAGGTTAGGTCGGTCGTTAGGCCGCGCGGTTATTTACAGTGTTAGTCCACTCCGCCGGTCGCGCCGTCGGCCCGGGCGATGCGCGGTGAAGCGTGAGCCCAGCGTGAGTCCGTGAAAGCCGGTTCAATGAATGAGATGCCGTGAGTAAGCGTCGACACACCACACAGCACACACCAACACCACGTCAATCTATTTACATGTAGTCGATGATGATATTTACAGTCGTGAATGTACACCTCGCGATGTTCGATGGATGACATGCCGCCTCCGGTACGTCGGGAGTGGAACTCGAATTCTCGGTTAGGTTTAGGACGACACACGTGTTATTGACCACTCGAGTAGTTTTGCGATCGTCTCGTCGAAGCGACTACACTACGTGCACGAATATTTATAAACAGTGACTGGACTAAACGAGTAAGCGGCGGTCTCACTCGCACCCTCAACAAGTCGTAAGCGTGCGATGGAGATCGAGGACTAATGAACAAAAATACCAAAAGCTAAAGGGTGTTTCAGTTCATCACTACAACTTATTCGAGTGTTTTGAGACGTTAAATACATAATGTTAGAAAATATCGTACTGACTCGAATAAGAAGTAGCGACGAGCATATAAGCACGAATCGACATGGCGGAGCATTATGTCATGGTGATTTAACAGAATCTTTAATGTCAATTTTGAAGAATGTCTTATAATAATTATGCAATGAAAATGTCCCGATCGACCTGCGACTTTTGGATATGGTTTTGATCAGTTAAAAGTTCATGGGTAAATCAACGCAGCGTAACCGTAAAAAAAAGAATAAAAACCTTTCTTTACTGTTATCAAATGTGCCGCGAAGGACGTAAAAACGTGTCACCCTCACTATGACGCTTTTAACAACCCAAACCTATCCACATTCCAAGCCCGTGAACGTTCCCAGCAATGTCGAGTCATGAGCGAGCATAAAACACTGACCTCGATCTTCTGCAGCAGACGGTCGTAGGAGGCCGCGAGCGCCGCGTCATCGAGCGCCGCCACCTCGGCTGCCCTCGCTCGGAGTTCTTTTTCAAGCTGGGTCAAGCGAGCCGCTGACGGCGCTGTGTTCGCAGCCAGCTCGGCTTCAGCGTCGGTTATCAAGCGGCGCACCGAGGGCTCCCTTGGGCCGCCCGCGCGGCGCCGCGCCTCGTCCCAGCGTTGGTTGATGGCGTCCACCTGCTGCTTGAGGTCCTGCAGCTGTGCTGGCTCGCACAGCTCGGCGAAGTGCCGGTAGTTGGCGTTCAGGCGGTCGTGTGTGGCTTCCAGCCGGGATAGTTCGAGCTCCAGCGCTTGCCGGGCCGGGGAGGCACCCTGTGGACCAAAAAACAAAGATCAATTTATTTATTAGATATAGACGACGGCACGTCAAGGTTACCACTGTGGGTTCTTGTACTATTGTAATAGGGGCGAGTTTCCAACAAAAATAGGTAACCTGATGTGCTGTCGTGTGTACACCAACAGAGTTAAATACACTTCATACATTTTTACATTATTAAGACGTCACGATACGTCGTCGTTTGTCGTCGCCGTTTCAGTCAAATAACCACTGCTGGACAAAGGCCTCCCCAAGACCTCAGTCACAGGTATACACAGCATTTCTCTTTTCAGGGTTGATCAATTAATGATATATAAGACATCGAACTGGGATTAATCTTGTCATGGGAATTGTAGAATGCAATAGACCTCAATCACATCGATCGTAAAACAAACGTTACTATGAGGTCTCACAGTCCACGTGGACGCACAAGGTCACACGCGAACCAATCGCAAAGCTCTATTCAACGCTGTGCGTTCGATTTGCTGCTTCACTTAAGAAAGCATCGTTTGTGAATACGGGTGTTTGTTATCTTTAAGGTGTCAGATACTAGACCAGTTCTTGACTCAGTGCCTTTACTGGACGTCTTGCAGCTGGAGGTGTGAGCATAAAATCGAGATGCTTACAGCGCGAGGAGCGGGGCTGGCCACGAGCGCGTCGAGGCGCGGCGCCAGCTCAGCCAGGTCGGCGTGCAGCTCGCGCGCGTGCAGCAGCGCGCCCTCCAGCTTGCCCTTGGCGTCCGTCACCTGCGCAAGACCAGTCGTGAGTCAAGTCAAACTAAAGGGAGATGCGAAAAGGGGGCGGGGCCAGGGTCGCAGCAATATGCCCAAAAACAGAACACTTTGCTCGCGATAGCCATGATGGCAACAGCGACGTTATACAGGGTGGAAATGTTAAGTGATCTCATTCGATTATTGTTTGGCTGGCATACATTTAGTATGGAAGCTGGAAACATTGAATTTTCGGATAGATCCAGTTTATTCTATGACCTAATATTGGTACCGTTTGAAAGAGCTTGTAAAGCACTTTCAGAATCAGTAATCAGTCTTTTGATATCTTGTACAGTTTAGAAATAATCGAGTGAGATCACTTAACGTTTCCACCCTGTATCTGTAAACAGTTTACATTGCTTGCGTAGTACTAAAGATTATTCGAAAGTGAAGTACGTACTGATCACAGAACACATTCAATCGCACGTCACTGCGTATGTACACTGTACAGTTAGTGGTGCTGTACGTACATTACTTGCAACCTGGTATGCGAACGAAGAATCGCACCCAATGCAATGCGTGCATGACACACACTCTTCGCGACGTTTTTATTTTGATTACTTTGTGTGTGTGAATTTCAAATGCAAAACTGGGTTTCGAACTCAGCGCATTAGTTTGCATTTTTCTAGATCTATAAGAGCTTCACAATGCTATCAAAAAGTTATTGCTAGTCTTGTAACCAGTATAAAAGGAAACTATACTCCTTTGTGGCGTCTCAACGGTTATGTCAGATTGAGCTATGGTAACCGTTTTTCTTTAGTAAATGAAACATAATTTGCATTTGTAGTAAGTAAGTAGGTACCTACTTATAAGATAAGTCATGTTTAAATCAAAATTCTACTATTATTGATATAATTAAATGTGTTTTGTGTGCATGCAACGGTTCGGAACAAACTGCATTGAATCTATATTGCATGTTGTGTCAGCCTATAATTGTTGTTGCATTGTAACTTTGTTCATAAGTTTTATGTGTACATGTGTTATGTAACAAAGTTGGTAGACCTAATAAATAAACCAGTAGGCCTAAGATGCGCGCCGCGATAAGCAGTTATCACGCCTGTATTGTGTTTAGGCACAGTATGGTAGCAGCAATAAAACTAGGTTTTTGATGAAATTAGAGTAAATCTATTCAGAGATACTTTTACAGTGTGAGAGTTGGATGGCAAGTGAAGTACCTACATTATACAAGAATAAAAATCTATGGACGCGCCTATGTGTCGACACATACACTTTCACGATATCGTTGTTTTGCTATTAGAAACCGCACAGGCACGCGCCTGAACAACGCCATTTTATCGATTTTGCCCATACATTTTGAAGACGATAAAAGTTATCACGGCGCGCATCTTAGGCCTACAGGAAGATTTAAGTAGACAGAGGAGTGACCTGTGCTCCGAGGCGGTTGTACAGCTCCTTGAGCTGGTCGACGCGGCGCGACAGGTCGGGCGCGCCGTCGGCCGCGCGCCGCCCGCTCTTGATCACAGCCTCCACCTCTGCTTTGATCTCGCTCAGCGTGCGGTAGAATTTCTGAAACACCACCAACCTCAATCAGCTTCCTACTTGATAGAGAAGAACTGCACTGAACTGTCCTTTATTTGACACTGACAGGGGGGCAGGCCACCGTCAATAGCGGATCGCTGGTTCCGACTTTTGCCACGGTGAAAACCGTGTAGTTGAACGAAGATGGTGGCGCCCTTCTGTCAATGTCGTCGGTGGGACATGTCAGTGTAGTTCATCTTTACACTTCATACACATTTTGTGTGCACTTCAATCAAAATGATATCAAAACACGGTTAGCTAAATAGCCGTTTCGACCTTGACATTCAAAGTCAATGCCGATGGATGGTTGATAATGACGATATCCAGGAAAATTGCATATGATTGTTATTATTTTTTTAGTTAAGTGGTATGTGTGTTCACATCTAGGTACTGAGAGACGGCCAAAACTTCTTACTTAAAACCAACTTCCACTTTCTTAACTCATAACTAAAATAAATTGGGTAACTTAAAGGCCTACCTACTTTATACACACAAATATGACACTTTTTGTTACTTTTATCACTTATCTATTTTAAGTGAAAAATGTTTCAAACAAAAAGAAAACACTCACTAGCCACTTATAAACCGCCATGGTGAACACCAACAGTATGTAAATAGAGTCCCAGCTCATATCGGGTTTTGGGTAACGCATGAAAACTTTTTACAATTAAATAAAGCTGAAAGTTACGCCGCACTAAAAAAAATTGGTTTATTATAATGAATATAAAATAGTTATGTAGCTGGTACTTGGCGTATGGCGGGCCGCGCGAGTCTGAAGGACTCACGCTGTGAGCCCGGCCTGCGCTGGCCGCGACGCGCCCGTAAGGCCTACACACACCGCCGGATATAATATACCATAACTGTGTGCACACTACGGTAAAAGTATCTACTAAAATATAAGATTTTAAACTTTCGCGTTCTATTACAATTAAAAATATCGGGTTGAGACCCGTGTTTCCCTATTTCAATCAAGCATATTTTTTGCATTCATCACCTTCATTTGCATCATTTACAACAAAAATATGTAGATCCTTTATTGACCAGTTGTAACTTTAGTAAGTTCATTCAAATAGTAATAAAAACTGTGAATTCTGTGATTACATAATAAAATCTGGCTCCAAATAATGAGACCAGCGCCACAATGCCATAATTTCTCACGTCTCACGATTTCAAAATTCTGCTTCTACTGAATTCCGAAGCGATATAAGAAGTCGCTCTAGAAGTGGAGCGTAGACTTTATGTTACTATTTACGCGTAGCGAGTGTTGTTATTAAACGGCGCGTATTTGTTTATAAGTCACTTTCTTTCAACACTGCGTTTGTCACTCGATGTAAGTTTCTCTAATAAATAAACGTAAAAATACTTAGTAGTTAATTGGTGTAACGAGTGTACTTTGGGTACTATTTTATACTCGTAATTTATAATTTCCCTGTAATGCAAATGCAATGAATCATTCCTAGACCTAACTAATCAAATATTATTTTATCTTGAGAGATGAAATAAATATTTTAAGTCATTTATTTAAGATAGCTATTAAAAATCTCTAAAGATTAACCTGGTAGGTTAAGGCTATTAGCCGACTGAATAGATTTCAAAAACAAATAATTGTGAATGAGCTAGTTTTCAACGAATTGCATTAAGCATCATGCAACATGATGCAACCCATAACTAACATCTTGGATTGAAACTTTTATCCCGCACATATTTAAAATTAACGATGCCACATCGCCCGTCTCCTAGCTGCGCGGCAATCACGGCGCTTGATCCGAATCCTTTCAACGCGGCGCACGCGAGGCATTACGCGCGCTGCATCGGCCGTATCGATTGCAACACCCGAACACACGCCGGCTCTGACTGATGAAGTGATCAATCATTCAGGCCCCTAACCTTTAGCGTAAATAATAATAACCTTCTATGGACACTATTGTTTCAGGAAGTCGATAACGATTTGCGATACGGTTTCAATTTTAAGTTGCATGAGAACTAAGCACGTAAAGATTTACCTGATCGTAAAAGTACATAAACAAGTTTAGACCATAGACAAACAGAGTGCAGAAGTTCCTGAGTCTCTTTAGATGAATTCAACCTTATCTATGATCAAAAATGTTTTATTTTAGATCGAAAATCTGAAATCTCCCAAAATGTAACCTACATTATACCTACATGAAGATGGCCTATTGAATGTCAGTGCGGTGGATGCCGGAAGCTGTTTGATAATAGCCGGCGGTCATGCGCTCTGATAAATCGCAGTTACGTCACCCCGCGGCTGTCTCACACATCTATTGTGAGCGGATTTAGATGCATACAAACAACTGCGTGCGCCCACTGTGGCAAGATAAACTGCGTTACATTTTTTATTTTGAAACTTTTTTAATTAGTCGTAAGTTTATAAACTTTTTAATTAAATATCTATGTAATTCTTCAGCTACATTACTACATGTATGGGATTTAGTTTTTTTCTTTTCGCAAAGTGCGGAAGTGTGTGCCACGCGCGAGTCACGTGTCGCGGCCGATGGAGCGTGGCGGCGCAGAGCTATGTAGGTCACTGTCGCGCGAGGGGACACAGCACCATTCATAAAGTAATCCTAATACACTCGCTAGGATGTACTATGATTAGCAACATACTCGTATCACTGAGCATTTTGGGTTTACTCGTATAATTTAAGGCACTTGCGCATTCGTGTTTAGTGACGCAACTTGTATCGATATCTATTCGTCGTCAGAGGTGGAATTGTGTAAAGCGATCGTAATCATTTGACAGTTCATAACGTACAGACCAGTCAGTTAAACAAAGCGTTTGACAGAATAATCGTACGTTATGAACTGTCAAATAATAACGATTGCTTTACACAATTCCACCTCAGAAGCTTTTACTCAGAGTAGTAGTTGTTTCAGCTAGAGAAAGGTCGGTCCTCGGCAGCGTATCGGTGGCGCACGCTCAGGTGTCGCCTAGTCGCGCCCGGCCGGCGGTGTCCCCGCCGGGTACTCACCAGGCAGCTGCAGGCCGGCAGTGTCCCCGCCGGGTACTCACCAGGCAGCTGCAGGCCGGCAGTGTCCCCGCCGGGTACTCACCAGGCAGCTGCAGGCCGGCAGTGTCCCCGCCGGGTACTCACCAGGCAGCTGCAGGCCGGCAGTGTCCCCGCCGGGTACTCACCAGGCAGCTGCAGGCCGGCAGTGTCCCCGCCGGGTACTCACCAGGCAGCTGCAGGCCGGCAGTGTCCCCGCCGGGTACTCACCAGGCAGCTGCAGGCCGGCAGTGTCCCCGCCGGGTACTCACCAGGCAGCGGCGCAGCTGGTGGCGCACGGCGTCGGGCCCGGCGCCGGCCAGCTGCAGGCCGGCAGTGTCCCCGCCGGGTACTCACCAGGCAGCGGCGCAGCTGGTGGCGCACGGCGTCGGGCCCGGCGCCGGCCAGCTGCAGGCCGGCAGTGTCCCCGCCGGGTACTCACCAGGCAGCGGCGCAGCTGGTGGCGCACGGCGTCGGGCCCGGCGCCGGCCAGCTGCAGGCCGGCGGCGGCGGCGCGCTGCACCTCTCGCAGCGTGTTGGTGGCTCGCGTCAGCCGCGCGCTCAGGTCGTCGCCGTCGTCTGCCGGTTTGCCACCGCCCATGGCCGCCAGCCGTTCCTCCGCTGCGGTGAACTTGCGCTAAACATAACGACACACGTTTTATACAAAACTTTTGACGTTACGTAGAAACGGGTACTGTAAACAACATCTGAACACAGTGAAACATACCAGGACCAGTTCGAGCTGCTCGTCGAGGCGCGCGGCGGCCTCGTGCTTGCCGGCGTCGCGGTAGGCGCGCACCTGCGCCCGCACCTCCTCCACCACTTGGCGCTGGCGCGGGAACTCCTCCATCAGACTCTACGGAATCGACGGCCATTTTAACGTTTATTTATCAACCCGAGTCGACCTATAGTCTTTTTCACCTAAGATGATCCGTATGACACTTCGAGGTTATCCATATTACGCATACTACATATGCAGAATATTTTTGAAAAAATATTTGTATTTTATTAGCAATTTAATAAAAAAAAATTAACCACTTGTCCTGAAATATGTAGTAAAATCTGAGTCTATTGATTAATATTTTAATTAAATACGATGTAAAAATATTTTTTATTTAATGTACGCAATGTGTGAAACGGAATAGATTTAGTGCTGGGGTATTTGTTGTATAACAAAATCGATTACAAAATAGATTAATTAATCGATTGCAGTGACTACTTAGTTATTAAAAACATCACAAAAATCTACTATATTTTTCGATTGTTGACTTTAATAAACGCATTGAAAATAAATTAATAGTTTTTAATTTATAGAAATAGAACCAGTACTTTTTACAAATCGTTTTTTTGAACACGAAGTCCATGGAATTTGAATATTAATAATAAAAAATTGTTACAAAAATATTTGTAATTAAAAAAAACTTTTTTTTTGTTAAATGACACCTATCCCAACTAATATTATAAATGCGAAAGTAACTCTGTCTGTCTGTCTGTCTGTCTGTCTGTCTGTCTGTCTGTTACGCTTTCCCGCTTAAACCTCGCAACCGATTTTGATGAAATTTGGCATAGAGATAGTTTGAGTCCCGGGAAAGAACATAGGATAGTTTTTATCCCGGTTTTTGAAACAGGAACGCGCGCGATAAAGTTTTTCTGTGACAGACAAAATTGCACGCGGGCGAAGCCGCGGGCGGAAAGCTAGTACAAAATATTTCTCTAAAAGTAGGTTTTACTAACTCTTAGAAAAAAATCGATAGATAAATCGCTATGGTTTATTTCTGTGACATCTCTATAACTTTCAAACTCGAAACGTCATACGGATCATCTTACGTGAAAAAGGCTATAATAGTGTCTGACAAAACAGTAAGTTCGGTAAAAACAGCTCAAGCAATATAGAGCGGCATCTCGTTACCTCCTTGTCTTCCGTCTGGTCCGGGGGCGCGGCCAGCAGGCGGTCGAGCCACTGCTGCAGGCGGTCCAGCGCCAGCTCCGACTGCGCCGCCTCGCGCGCCGAGCGCTCCAGCAGCTGCAGCCGCGCCGCCGCCTGCGCGCAACACAATGCACTGTCAGTATGCAGCAGGACAGAAGTTGTGGCCAGACGAAAGCGAGACATTTTGGCATCGGTGAAATGACGAAGGTGACAAAGATCTGAACCAGGCCTTTTTTTTCTTGGCTTTCGCGGAACCAGGATTTTCTGCAGAGAATTGATCTCGAAACGCTTGGTACACAGTGGTGAAATTGGCCCGACTTTGAAATTCGCTTAGGCCTCAGCCTCGAATTTAGCGGGCAGTGGGGCGGCGGCAGTAGCGGCGCGGGAACGGCAGGATCTTATGCGTAAAATCAAATAGACCGGTTCTCGAAAACAGCGGCGCGGGAGCGGGCAACGAGCGGGCAGCGCACTCTTTCTTTTGCCCACAGTAAATCGAGCGTTAGGAATAAATTTGAATCGAAATAAAATTGTCGCCTTTGTTCAGACATTTCGTTTGCGAATAAAAACAAATATCTCGACAACTCAACCCCGAACACAACACTTCGCCGCTAAAGTGCCGCGCGAGTTGCTCGCTTGTTTCGAGATCGGGTCTGCGTTGCGCGCTCCGCTCCCGCGCCGCTGCCCGCTAAATTCGAGGCTGAGGCCTAACGACCGTGTTCAGGATGATTCAAAACTTTTTATTCGTAATCGTTCTTAAATACTGGCTTGCAAAAATAATAAAAAGAACAAACGTCATGTGTGAATTGATTGTCGACTTCTTGGCGGGAATCTGAAGCGTCATGTTAGCGGTTTTGTTTTATTTCCTCAAATTCGTGTTTAGGCGACTATTAATGTGTAATAATGGTGGGTTATTAACCATTGAGTGTTCGTGAACGTGCATGAGTGTGGGCGAGTGAAGCAAAACAGTGCATCGTGATTCTTCGGGTTCTCTCAAGTTGTCCATAGGAGGTCTCAGTAAAGCTCCACAACTTTACTGAGACTCAAAAGGTGGGAAGGGGTATCATCTATCATCCTTTATTATATCATTACTTGGTCTCATTTTGTAACTCGTATCACTTATAAACTTGAAAATGGCAAAAATCAAGTCGACGTCGACGTGTATTTAATTGCCAACATCATCAAAAAAGAAGAAGAATTGATTGTCATCTAAGGTTGTCATAAAAAAATATTGTAACGTTCTGAGAAATACAGTCTTTAAAATTAGTATGATATTTATTAAATTAATTGTCCATGACAAAATTGGTCCTTCGACCCGGATCAGAGAGAGCCGACACATGAGAATAGTATAATACATGCTCTATGGAGGAGAAATGTTACTCCTCGAACATTTCGTGACAAAGAACGATAAACGAAATTAATAGGGCGTCAAGAAGCGGTCAAGGGTGACCGGGTACCTGCGCGCGGTGCGTGTCCCAGGCGTCGGAGACGGCGCGGACCTGCGCCCGGATCCAGGCCGGCATGATGTGCGCGCCCACGAGCTGCTCGCCGATGTCCTGGATGCGCGCCAGCCGCTCGTCGCTGTGGTTCTGCAGGTAGTTCCACCCTGTATAGCATGTAGACACTTGTCTGCCAGCTACCTGCGCGCGGTGCGTGTCCCAGGCGTCGGAGACGGCGCGGACCTGCGCCCGGATCCAGGCCGGCATGATGTGCGCGCCCACGAGCTGCTCGCCGATGTCCTGGATGCGCGCCAGCCGCTCGTCGCTGTGGTTCTGCAGGTAGTTCTCCAAGTCCTGGATGAAGGAAAAAAACATGAACATTACGTTCTCAGTTAAGCCTGCCTGACGATAATGAATTTTTTTATGAACAATAGTTATTTATTTTTGCACCAAATACTAATAATCCCGTTAGCCCCTTGTACTAAGCTAAAAGCTAGTGTCACGAGTGAGTTCACAAAAATAGTCGAGCGTCAGCGGGGCTCGGATAAGGAGTTGACCAATCCAACCCCTCCACCGTTCGGCTATCGTTCGTGGCGTGGCTGAACAAGTGTTCAACGTGTGTCTAACTTTTTGTAATCATCATCATCATTTCAGCCACGGGACGTACACCGCTAAACATAGTCTCCCAATGATTTCCGTATCGCCAGGTTGGTAGCGACCTGCATCCAGCGCCTTCTTACCTACCTTTATGAGCCACCATTTTCTCTTGCAATACTATTTGTAATAAGTCCCTAGGAATATAAACTCTGTGACGTGGTATTACAACGCCAATCTTTGAGGAGGGGAGAGGGGGGTGGGGGGGTGAGCTCACGTAGAGGTCGTCGGTGATCTCCTCGGCGTCGGCGGGCGCGTTGGGCGAGCGGCGCAGGCGGCGCTGCAGCCCGTCCAGCCACGCCGCCTCCTGCGTCAGCCACGCGCGCAGCTCGCCCGTCTCGTGCCACGCCTCCGCCAGCACCCTGCGCACACAACACACGCTCGTACACTTGTTCAATCTTCTATACTAATATTATAAAGCTGAAGAGTTTGTTTGTTTGTTTACTTGAACGCGCTAATCTCAGAAACTACTGGACCGATTTGAACAATTCTTTCAGTGTTAGAAAGCCCATTTATTGAGGAAAGCTATAGGCTATACAGGGTGGAAACGATAAGTGATCTCACTGGATTATTTCTAAACTATACAAGATATCCAAAAACTAGTTACTGCTCCTGAAAGTGCTTCATGAGCTCTATCTAACGGTACTAATAATAGGTTACAAAATAAATTGGATCTATCTGAAAATTCAATTTTTCCAGCCTCCATACATAAAATAAGCACTTTGAGGATCAGTAATCAGTTTGTCGATATCTTGTGTAGTTTAGAAATAATCGAATGAGATCACTTATCGTTTCCACCCTGTATACCATCACGCTACGAGTAATAGTCGCAGAGCAAAAATGAAAAATGTTACGAAAACGGGTTTTCACGCGTACGAAGTCAGCTAGTAAATAATAAACCCAAGTCAGGCCTGCTCATCTCCCCGAGTAGGCATCGAAAACAAAACACGCGCGGCGTATCCGCAGCGGGTTTAATCCACAAGGGATTCACGAGCGAGTAGTGAGAGACGTACGCGAGCGTATTTTTCACTTATTGTATAGTTCTCGCAACTCACGAAGACGAGTGAGCTTTACTTGTGTGTATACGTGCACATGCCATAACGATAATTCAATGACTATCAAAACTTTTGAAAAACGAATAGTAGCCACCACATGTAAAGCTCACTCGCCTTCGTAAATTTCATCAACTATAAAAATTACTCATCATGGAAAGAAGAAAAAATACGCGTTTTGTGTGATGGCAGCACAATAACTTCTTGTAGCAACTCAGCCCTGTCGCTACAGTACCGATCACTGACGTATGTAAACGAAACGGTGCTCTACTCTGAGACAAGCTAAATAACACCATATTGTTGACGACATTGAGTGGACTTTATTTTAAATACAATCGCGAAGAAAACTTTCTGTACATAGTACACATTATTATTCTGTGGTCAAGTGAACTATGCACTCACTTGTATCGCTCGTAGACGCCGTGCGTAACTTGCGTCCAACGCGCGTTGATGTGCGTGACGCGTTTAGTGAGTGCGGCCGGCGGCGCCGCCTCCGCCTGCAGCAGGATGTCGTTACCTGAAGAAAAATGTTCATATACAGCGATGATCTACTTGCACTAAAACTGTACGAGAGAATATAGTCAAAGTCAACATTTCTTTATTTGTTTAGACTAATAAATAGTTCTTACAAATCGTCATTTTGCTCTTAAGGAGCCTCTACATGTCTCATAATATTTTTACCCTACCAGTGCTTCGAGACCAACATTTGGCAAGTGCTGAGAGGAAGCGCCGCAACAAACTCAGTCACCACTGTCTGCCGGTTAATATAAATAAATAGAAAAAGCAATATGCAAAGTAACCTAATAGATATTTTAGAAAACACATCCGCACGTCTCGCGTTCGCCCCGTTCGTACCAGAGCGGCGACGTGACGTCACGGCCGCGAGGTGCCCAGTCAACTCGACCTTGGAACCTAACAATAATACGAACTTATTTACTCACTTGCTTCGTTCAAATTTCTAAACTCGGGAGTTTTGTCGTCACACTTGTCCTTCAAGGTCTGGAACCGGACCTTCATTTGGTACAAATCGGCGGAGTCCTTGATCTCGCACTCGTCCTCCTTGGGGCTCTGCTCCTCAATGTCCTGGAGCCACTGCTCCATCTCTTCGATTTTTCTGAAGACCCCCTCGGTCTTTTCCAAGGCTCTTCGGAGGCCCTCGTTCAGCTTGAAGGCCTTGTCTGTGGCGGCGTCGAACCTCGACTTCAGGTCTTTGGTGCTCGCCTGAATGCTCTTGGACAGGCTGTCATCACAGTCCTCGAGGATCGTGTCCTTCGCCGTTTGGATAGAGTCCAGTTTGGATAAGTACTTCTTCTTATCTTCGTCGTATTTCTGGAAAATAAACCACAGTTGTAGACTAAACTGGCAAAAACTATACTGTGTTAATAATCCCAAAAAAACTTACATTGCTAATGTCGAGTAATTTTTCCAATTGCTCGACCTCTCCCACGGGTATCGAACTGTTTTCTGACACGAATTCCTCTACGTTGCCGAGCCATTTACTCAGCTCCTGTCTGTCTTCTTCGAGTTGATTCAGAAGGTTCAACCCTAACAAAACAAAAAGTTAACATAAAAATCATAACAAAAAGATAAAAAAACCAAAAGAAAAAAAAAAGAAAACAAAAACCTTTCTCAATTTTGCCAATCTTCTGGTCCAATATAGCTTTTGAATCCCCGTATCTCATGACCAGGTTCTCGAGGCTGCTCCTGAAGTTGAGCTCCTCCATGCTGCCCTTCGCGTACTTCTCGCGGCGCTCCTTGACCACGGCGTCGTACGTGTTCTGCAGATCCTCCAACTCTTTCCTGAGCTGCGTCAGCTCCTTGAGCTTGTCCTCCATCTTGTGCTTGTCGCAGATGATGGCGTGCTCCGCTATGATCTGGCCCTCGATGCGCTCGATGCGGGCCTGCAGCCCCTTGAAGTCGTCCTCGTGCGCCTGCCCCGGGCCCTTGCTGAGCGCCAGCTTGAGCTCCACCTCGCGCGCGCTGAGCAGCGTGAGCAGCCGCTCGTACGCGTCGTTGACTCGCTTCGAGTCCGCTTCGATTTCGTCCTTGTGCGATTTCGATATCGATTTCGTGAGCAGTATTATCGACTGCGCGTTCAGCTCCTTCAGCTTCATCTCCGACTGTTTGAGGGCGCGTATCTTGTTTCGGAGGTGTATCAGTTGGTTGTTCGTCGCTTTGTCGGTCAGCATTTTCTCCTTCCACTCGTGAATCTCGTCGAGCTCCCTCTGGAACGCTTCCAGGTTCTTGTAGAAGTTGTCCTTGTCCTCCAGAAGGTTCATCGTGTTTCGTATCTCGAGTAGTTTCCGCTGGATGTTGTCCCATCGCCGTTTGAGTTCTTCTATGCTCGCCGCGTGTTGTTTGGCGTCCTCTGTAAGCACATACGAATATGTTATAGCCTGACCAGGAACATAAAAACCCTGGCATAGAGGCGCTTCAATTGCATTTGATAGTGCAACACTGAGTACAGTCGTACATGTGTTAAATTAATAGGCTAAATTTATGTATCAGGATTCAGGATTACGGGCTAATTTGATATTTTCATAAATTAACGAAAAATATTATTAAAGGTAACCTGGTTTAAATAAATTAAATGAAACCATCAATCGAGCTAGTAGGATTTATTTTATTATTCATCAATAATCAAATTCAGAACTTGAATATTCAACTGCAATGTCTGCTCATGAACGCTTCAAACTCGGTACTTCTTTCCCAATTCCATAAAATTCAAAACTTAGAAAGTGACAAAAAACTTTAAAATAGGTAGTTGAAACAGACTACAGCTAATTTTCATAGTGGACTGTACTATACGATAAACATGTCAGTCAATTTGACAACCTTTGTCGGAAACATTATTCAATGAAAATATTGTCCGAACCCTTAGTATTTCTCTTCGACAAATACATTAACACATAGTGAACCACTTTTCTTTCACGACTATAAAAATATTTTAGCAATTTAATTCACAAAATCAATTGCAAACATTTAAAATAAAGTTTGTTTACACTTTGACAACAATAGACTGACATGCAAGGTGACATGTCAATGAAGTTTTCAGTTACTGTTGCCATTAAAAGAAATTAGTGCCATTAGTTTTCCGCAACATGGCGAGGGTTTTTATGTTCCTGGTCAGGCTATACATAACTTTAAATGCCACGATGAAGGAAATTTTTTTTTTCGTTTCGAGTTCATACATGAAAGACAATATTTTAATCTGTAGAGGCCTCGACCGAATTCAACGAAATGATAGCCAAGGGCAGCCGAAGGTGCCCGAACAGAATCAAATATTTAGATGACAAAAAGAACTGTTATCTTTGCAACTGTAGCACTGACCTGCGAGGCCGGGGTCGGCGGCGAGGCGGCGCTGGATCTCCTCGACGTTGGCGAAGTCGGCGCGCTGCAGCTCGCTCTCCTGCGCCACGCGCTCCAGCGCCGCGCCCAGCGAGCGGCGCCTGCCGCCGCGCCGCTCCAGCTCGTCCGCACACTGTAACGAACATAGCAGGTCATTGACACTTGCATTCCTTCCACGCAACGGGAACGCACGTAGTCAGCGGCGTCATTGACCCTTGCATTCCTCCCATGCAACGGGAGCGCACGTAGTCAGCGGGGTCGTTGACCCTTGCATTCCTCCCAAAAAAGCCACATCCCATTGGGACGTGTAAAAGTGCTTTTTTAAAGCCTACTTACAGAAATAAATGAGTTTTACTGAGTTTTTTTTACATGCAACGGGAGCGCACGTATTCAGCGGGGTCATTGACACTCGTGTTCCCGATCCCGCCACGCTGCGAGCATCGTTCTGCGTGTTACGTCAGCGACACTATTTAGTACGTCACACCCTCGATACACGCATAGTCGTCCGCGCGACTGAAGTCAACGTAGAAATAATGCGCAGAGGTTAAACCTTTGACTAGGCACGAGAGGTGCCTGGATGCGGGTGGCGCAAGGCCGGTCATTGTGGGAGGCCTTTGTCCAGCAGTGGTCGTCATTTAATTGAACAAACGAAACCTTTGACAGCTGTCTTTGCGCAGAAAATTAGACATCACTGATAACGTAGGACAAAGATGTCTATATTTTATTTATTTACTAGCTGACCCGGCGAACTTTGTTCCGCCTTAATGGCAATAAATAAGCAGACTTTTTTTTATTTCGAACGGGATAAAAAGTATCCTATGTCCTTCTCCTGGCTCTAGGGAGGTACCCTGACAATTTTCAGCTTAATCGGTTCAGCCGTTCTTGAGTTATAAGCGAAGTAACTAACACGACTTTCTTTTATATACAACGTGTCCCAAAATTCAAGGATAAGCCGGCGCCGCAGGATGGACATAGTCATGACTACTTTAGGAAAAATAAGAAAAAAAATCTATCTCAATTATTTTTTAAGTTACACAATAAATTATGAAATTCGTCGAAAATTGACACCCCTTATGATATTTTACATTACCACGACTACAATTTTTCAAATACTTCTGTTTTTTTGTTTGTATCGGCAACTTAAGTAGTGCTGCTGTCCACTCCAATTCTTAAAACCCCCAGAATCCTTGCAGTTTTTACACAAAAGTTAATCAAAATATGATATTTCCTTAAAATTTTGAACGATTTTTACTTTCACTCCACTTTGACTCGTCGTTTTGTAAAAAAACAGTATGAACACTACTGCGGCAAGTTTTTTATAAAGTTGACGCAACTATCCAAGATTCCAAAATGGTATAATACTCTAAGAAAACTAGTCGCAAAAAAGATATGCGTACCATTTTTACAAGCACTTCGCTTGTTAGTAGTATGGGATAAATCTTGCAACTAAATTTAAAACCAGTTCTCCTCAACCAGTTGAGCTGAAATTTGGTATACTTATGTAAGTACGATGAAAATGCAATATTATGGTATCATTGAGCTGGATGGAGTTTGGAAGTGGCCATAGGAACTTCTAAATGAAACGGCGGAATTGCATCTAGTTTAGGTTCGTTAGATTTGTCTTTTCAAGCGCACTTTGGTGCTAGATGATGTCCAGGATCCTGATGATGAAGTCAAGAGATGGCCAGGAGCTGGCTATAGGAACTCCTAAACGAAACGGCGGAAGCTTATCGAGTTTGGGTTCGTTGGATTTGTCTTCCCGAGCACTTGGGCCATGAGATTGAGAAACAACTAAAAAGTTTAAAATAAAGTTGTAATAAAAAAAAACTTTTTTAAAAACAAGATTGACTTCGTTTGAAAATTATAATTGACTTCATACACTATTACACTTTTTAGTTGTTTCTCAATCTCATGGTCCAAGTGCTCGGGAAGTCAAATCCAACGAACCCAAACTCGATAATCTTCCGCCATTTCGATTAGGAGTTCCTTTGGCCAGCTCCTGGCCACCTCTTGACTTCATCACCAGGACCCTGGACATCATCTAGAACTAAAGTGCTGGAAAAGATATCCAACGAACCCAAACTAAATGCGATTCCGCCGTTTCGTTTAGAAGTTCCTATGGCCACCTCCACACTCTATCCAGCTCAATGATACCATAATATTGCAATGTCATCGTACTTACATAAGTATACCAAATTTCAGCTCAATTGGTTAAGGAAAACTGGTTTTAAATTTAATTGCAAGATTTATCCCATACTAACTAACAAGCGAAATGCTTGTAAAAATGGTACGCATATCTTTTTTGCGACTAGTTATCTTAGAGTATTATACCATTTTGGAATCTTGGATAGTTGCGTCAACTTTATAAAAAACTTGCCGCAGTAGTGTTCATACTGTTTTTTTACAAAACGACGAGTCAAAGTGGAGTGAAAGTAAAAATCGTTCAAAATTTTAAGGAAACATCATATTTTGATTAACTTTTGTGTAAAAACTGCAAGGATTCTGAGGGTTTTAAGAATTGCAGTGGACAGCAGCACTACTTAAGTTGCCGATACAAACAAAAAAACAGAAGTATTTGAAAAATTGTGGGCGTGGTAATGTAAAATATCATAAGGGGTGTCAATTTTCGACGAATTTCATAATTTATTGTGTAACTTAAAAAATAATTGAGATAGATTTTTTTTCTTATTTTTCCTAAAGTAGTCATGACTATGTCCAACCTGCGGCGCCGGCTTATCCTTGAATTTTGGGACACGTTGTATATAGATTAGGTACACCAACAAAGTCACATACATAATACAGTTCATACAGTTCATATATTCCATTAAAAAACTAACAAAAAATACACCAAAAAACACAAAACCGAAAAGAAAACTTACCTCCTCAAGCGTCTTCTCGGCGTTGTCGGCCCACGTGTCGAACACATGAAAGCCGATCTGGAAGTCGGCGGGCGCGGGCGGCGGGTCGCTCAGGCGCGGCTTCTTGGCGCCGCCGCCCTCCGTCCCCGCCGCGCCCGGTGACGTCACCGCCGGGCTCGTGTCCATCGGCGTCGACGCTTCCGCGCGCTCCTCCGACGTCACCACGTCAAACTCGAAGCCGAGCTCTTTGATCTGAAGCAAACGAACACAAAACATTGATTAATTTATGATTTACATTAAAAATATACAGAAGTCAGATTGATCATAGGACATACCCGTTGTGCTTGAACATCTAGTATCATGTTGAGGGCGTCCAATCTATCTTGTAAAGCTTCTGCTCGCTCCACTAGTCCACGTTCACCTGAACCTGTAATAAAAATACAGTTTGTTAATCATTGGTCGTAACATAAATAATAAAGAAAATCTGCAGCGCGGCGTTATCGCGTGTGAGTGAGGTACAGTCCACTTCAAATAGTTTGTGACAGTTGACAACACAAAGACGTGTTACGAATTTTTTGTCAATTTTGGATGTCACGAAGTATTGAACGCTGACTTTACCTGCGTGGTCGGCGAGCAGCGCCTGCACGGCGTCGTAGTGCGCGGCCAGCGCGTCCTGCTGCGCGGCCAGCGAGCGCTTGATGCGCTGCAGCTCCTCGATGCGCGCCAGCACCGCGCCGATCTCCGACACCGGGTTCGCCTCCATCTGCTTGAGGCTGGCCTCGTGCCGCGAGCAGGCTTGCAGCAGCTCCTGGTGCGCGTCGTCGCGCGCGCGCAGCGCCCGCAGCCGCGCCAGCTGCGCCAGCGTCCAGCCGCACGTGTGCGACCAGCGCTCGCCCAGCGCCGTCAGCTGGTCCTCGATCTCGGCCACGCGGTCGGGCGCGGCGGCGTCGTCGTCCACCACCACCACGCAGTCGGCCAGCGCGTCCACCAGCGGCTGCCGGCGCCGCAGGTCGGCGTGCAGCGCCTCCACGGCGCGCAGCTCGGGCTCGCCCATGCGCGAGATGCGGTCCTCGGTGCGCGTGAGCCAGCGCCGGAAGTCGTCCAGCTGGCGCTGCTGCGCGGCCATGAGCGCCGCGTGGCCGTCGGCCTGGCGCCGCATGGCGCGCGCGCGCAGCTCCTCCCAGCGGCCCGTCAGCAGGCGGCCCTGCAGGCGCACCTCGGCCGCCTCGTCGCGCGACAGCCCGCCGTCGGCCAGCAGGCGCGCGCCCGCGTCCAGCACGCCGCCCACGCGCGCCTGCTGCTCCGCCAGCTCCAGCAGGAAGCGCTCGTGGCGGTGGAAGTGCTCCTTGAGCTCGGCCAGCGGCGCGTGCTCCTCGGGCGCGGCCGCCGCCGCCAGCCGCTCCTCCGCCTCCAGCAGCCACGCCAGCGCGTCCTCCAGCGCCGCGCCGTAGCCGCCCAGCTCCGCCGACGCCGTCGTCGCCGTCGACACCGGCCGGCTGCCCGACACCTGCCGGACCGGACGACCCAGTGAACAAAACAGATCCGAGCGGCTGTAACACGAGTGATGTGGGACGGTGACGCACCTCGGCGGCGTCGGGCTCGGCGCGCGGCGTGCCGGGCTCGGACGGCAGGCTGTCGACGTCGGCCACGTCCTCGCTGGAGTGCGGCAGCGATTGGAACATGCACATCACGTACATCATGATCGACTTCTTGTCCGGGTGCGGCGTGTTCACGTCTGCGGGGAAATGAGATAGCGTCAGTTACTTTTACATAGCTAACGTTCTACCTAACGTGTCATATACAGGGTGGAATTTTGTAATGCCACCTGGAGGGAAAGTACTCTTAATACTGTAGATAGAAAATTTTACTCAAAGAAAACATTCCTTTATTTTTGAAAAGAAAGACAACTGCATTTAAAGATTTTCAAAAAAATTTCGAAAATTTACCACCATACCATACAATTTTCTGTAAATAATTAAAATAATTAAGATTTCCTGGTTTTCCTTTCATTTGATTTATCAAGTTTGTTAGAGAGATTTCATCCTTATACTTAACCCTAACGATCGATGCAATAAAAATACAGGGTGTAATTTTTAACAAATTTTAGTTGGTTCGATTCCCGGGTGAGGCAAGCAAATTTTTAGAAATCTTTGAATGCAGTTCTATTTCTTTTTCTAAATTAAGCAATGTTTCCTTTGAGTAAAATTTTCTATCTACAGTATTAAGAGTACTTTCCCTCCAGGTGGCATTACAAAATTCCACCCTGTAGAGCTGAAACTAAAGGAGACATTCAGGATTAAAATACCCTCAGGGTCCAGCAGGCGCGGGATGGCGAGCTGGGTCCGCGCGAGCGCGAAGGCGTGGTCGAGGCGCGCGGCGGGCGGGCGGCGCAGCAGCGCGCTGTAGTCGAACAGCTGCGGCCGCCAGCGGTGCAGCAGCGCGTTGAAGGCCAGCCCGTCGCTCCACGACGACGTGAAGTTGCGCACGTTCACGCCCACGTAGTTCTGCAAGACACGCGGTTGTCTTACCGGTTAATAGGTCTAGACCATTGGTTCCCAAAATAGGGGGCGCGCCCCCCAGGGAAGGCGCAAAGACCTTTATAGGGGAGCGCGGGCCATCTGTGTACTTAAGTATAAAAAACCTACGACCGCTGAGAGAATGCATTCCAGACTGCTCGACACGACCAATAAATAATCTGGACTGGAGGATGGGGGGCGCGGAATTTTGTATGGTCGAAAGGGGGGCGTCTCAAATAAGTTTGGGAACCCCTGCTCTAGACACTTGATGTAACCAAACAAAAAATGACACACATTTTGCTTCCGCTCTAATCATTTTAGAAACACGCGATCGAAGCACTTTGCGGATGGTGATTTACAAAAATGACAAATAAAATAGTCACGAACGGCGCGACGATTCTCGCCATGAGTGAAACTTCATAAACCTAAGCCTAGTGGGAGACAAGATAGGGCAACATTAAATAACTGACCTGCGTTTGCGTTCGGCACCAAGCGAGTAGGGTCTTCTCGAGGTTAGTCTGCTGAAGTTCCGACATAAGATCTTTCAGGTGGTAGTGCACCTGCCAGTGCAGGATTATGCTCCATACGAGACCTGTAACCACAACACAAAAATTACTTTAGTTCAGTTTCGAATCAAGACATTTCATCATCATTTCACCCACAAGACGTCCATTGCTGAACATAGTTCTCCCCCAATGATTTCCATATCGCCCGGTTGGTAGCGGCCTACATCCAGCGCCTTCCTGCTACCTTTATGATGTCTTCGGTCCACTTTTTGGGTGGACGTCCCACGCTGCGTTTTCCGGTACGTGCCCTCCACTCCAGAACCTTGCTGCTCCATCAGCCGGCAGTTTTGCGTACTATGTGCCCTGCCCAATGCCACTTCAGCTTGCTAATCTTTCGGGCTATGTCAGTGACTTTAGTTCATTTACGGATCTCCTCATTTCTGATTCGATCTCGTCAAGACATTTATGGGTAAGTTATTTAGATACTAGCAAGTTGAAGATAAGTTAATAGGATAAGTTATTAGGTAGTTTATTTGAGTCGAGCACTTGCCGAGCGTGAGCTTGGGGTTGCCGTCGACGATGTCGTTGCTGCTGATGTTGACGAGCTTGACGCCGCTGGCGTCCAGCACGCTCAGCGCCGTGTTCACGTTGTTGATCTGGTGCACGCGCATGCGCCCCCGCTCGCGTTTCTGAAGGAATGCCGTTTGTATTTTAAAAAGAGAGAAAAGCAGAGATTTTTTCGAGATAAAGAATATTTTGGCGCAAGTACACTATGCGGAATGTTGACCGAGACGAAGAGCGAGCCCGCTCACCGAAATATGGGTGAAGCACAGGTCCCGAGGAAGGAAAAAGTAACCGAGATGCGTATTTACGTCTCGATCAATTTCCCGCATAGTGTACTTGCACTATTTGATTAAATATAAAGACTGTTATCGTCTAACTGAATTAAAGTCGATAGAAAGTAGTTTTGGCTCACATATTGCTGCGCCGTGAGGATCTCCAGCAGCGACAGCAGCACCTCGCCGTCGCGCAGGTCGAGGAACAGGTCTTCCACCAGCGGCTTGTCATTCTGCAACGTCAGGCAACACCGTCCGATCAAATGACTGACAGTTTCACTTTTCCCCCGGGACAAACTTGGCCTACACTAGTTGGATTTTATTTGCGGTCAAGCTGTAGACCCTACAAGAGTTGCAGCGGAACGAGAGGTGGAAATAGTCCCGTGCTCCCGCTCATATTACACAAATTGTACCGTGTTGAAGATACCGTACCGTGATAGAATGACATTTCAATACATCGGCACATAATGATGATCTATAGCTGCAAGGATCTGAACGCAGTTTAGTACGATTAACACCTAGTACCTACTAATTTACAGTTTAGTTGAGTAAAGTGAGGCTATTTAATAATTAAAATTGTCTGTTATACAGAGGGATTTTTATTAGTCGCATAGTGCAATATAGGGAGTGTATTTCCTTAGGCGTCATTGCCGCGTGCAGTAATATGTTCTGGCTGTTAAGCATTCGAATGCGATTTACGACGCTTGACTTCGTGCAGATAAATCTGTGTTGACGTCATATAGGTACCCATGCTTATTAATTAGTCAAATAACGACTAAAACTCATAAAACTCATTTATTTTTGCAAATAGGCTTTTAAAAAGCACTTTTACACGTCCCAATAGTAACCCTACCACTGCTTCGGGACAATAAACTTGCACTCTATCATCATATCTAAAGCTATGTTTTCTTCAGAGATGTGCGAGGATGCTTAGCGAGGGATATGATCTCGCCTCCTGAGGGCCGATTTTAATGATTCTTATGTTAATCGATTTATCTGGTTGTTAATCTTGTAAGTGTCACTAAAGACATGACAGTAATTAAAATTCAATTTAGCGACAACCAGACGAAACGAAAAAGAAAAAGGTTTACAAAATGAACACCCGACTGATTTAGTCTGGAATTTTCAATATTATTTACTTTTCATAAGCTAACTAATTGCTTGCGCAACCTTTCAGCGGGTTACATTGATTTGCATCCGACCTTTAATTACGACAAGGAGCGAAGGGTGCACGCCAGATGCAGCGGTGCGCTTTCAGCCGATCATCATAAACAGCGCGGGAAGGCCCCGCAATTGCCCTTAATTCGCGCCACCAGTCAGTAAACAATGTGTTTGAGAAACATCAAGAGGCACGGCACGGTACAAAGGTTGCGCCTTGAAATCTTCTCACTACGTTAGAAAACGTAATAGATGAGATTTGGCGATCACTTGTGCGATCTGTTCGAGAACACGACGTCAATAATAATATATGATGCACATAAATTACCTTAACCAACTGCGAGTTTATCCATTTGGCGAAGGTTTTCTTTTGGACATCTTCACGTTCGTCTGAAACAATAACAGAATACCTTTAAACAACGTGAATTTTTTTATGTATGAGAAAACGTTAGCACCAAAATAGACAAAAAGTTCGTCATGACGAATTATAAAATAATGTTGCAATGCCCTTACAGGGCCTTGTTTCGGGAATCCAATTGTACCAACATGATGCAATAAAGATTTATGACTTTGACTATAGGTAAATGACTGTGATTTACGGCAAGCGCTATGCAATCTTATAAGATTAGCTATCTCAATAACAACACTGGCAAAAAATAAAAGAATAAGTAACGAGAGGTCTCTAGAAGAACACATTAACAAATTCCTATCAACTAAGCAATCTTACTGGCATCCTCCTCATCAACAGGCTTGTTGAAAAACGCTTCCCATGTTTTCAATAGCGTTATCATGTCATATCAAATGGTCCTTTTGGGCCACACACTTAGCACACGCACGTTAAGTGACTGTCACGACAGTCGTGTAGTTCCAAATGGAAATGTGTGAAAAACTGTAGCGCATACGCGGGCCGGCTGAAAACTGACGGCAGGAGCGGGAGCAGTCCCGTTAGCCACGCTCCGCCGATCTTTATGGCGATTTGTCTCTTGTTCTTGCATAATGCGACCTTCAGACCTAACCTATGCAAATCGGAATCGCATTTAGTACAGTCGAAATCAACATACATATAGTCCATTTTAAGTCATCATCCTTCAAAGTTTACCCTTTTACTATTGGAGACTGATAAATCTTTCAAAGTTTGAGAAACAGAGATTTCAAGACAATTTGCTACTATCAGATTTATTACGAGCCTGAAATTTCAATTACGAATTGAAGGCAAAAACGTGTAAAAAACGCGATTCTGAAATTGTATTTATTTATTTATTTAATTAACATGCAAGTGAGCTTACAGATTTATATCCAAAGTATGACACATTCTTGATCAAGAAGTACATATTTCAGAAAGGAGGATGCGAATTTTTTATTGATCAGATAATACGAACGAACCGCAACGATCCAAAGGTGTCAAGTTACAATAAACTGATACGAAACATGTGTACGAGCGAATCTTAATTTGCACATGGTTTGAATGTTATTGCACCGAACTGCCTAGTCGATTATGTAAATGATTTCAACTCGCAGTGGCATCGTTGCGTAAACAATCACTTGAGCGCCGAGAAGAGCGCAGTGTCAGACGAAGACCCAAGGTCAGTTTTTACCTGCATTGGCGTCTGCGCCGAGCAGCGCGTCTCAACGTCGGCTGATGAGGTCATAGACTTGTTTACTATGCGTCAGCACTTTACACTTAAACTTTTAAGAACGCTACTTACTGCCCTTGGAAGACTAAAAATATTCAGCATATCTACACTACACCGCTAAATTGTGTTGTTTAGACTGACTTATATTATCCGGAAAACCCTGATATAACCCAATGAATGTGCATGTAACATTCGCAAATTATAAGTCTGTCAAAAATAAGTAATTATTTGGTTATTACCGAGTCATTTAGACTCCTGGACGTAGTCCGTAATGGAAGAAATTGTGTTTATTTAGATGATCGATAACGGGAGTATTTATTGATGCTGATTAGCATAACGACACAAATAACGAGTTTAACGAGCTACCTACTACTAACCACCCGTAGTTCAAGTGCATTATCGCAGGCGCCGGCGACAAGCGCAGGGGGCGGCGCCGGCGCCCGCGCCGAAGACTGGTCCCACCACACCCTTACATAACTGACCATGACATGACTCACACGTTTACTTTTACATTTTTACAGAGCGAGCATCCACCGACTCTCGAGATCGCTGTGCACCTGTCCTACACCGGATAGTTTTATCCCACTGACTGTATGTCAGCAGCTAGACCTTTAGCAGTGATTTTGTGCCTGCCTTGACAAGTTTTAAAGAAGTTTCGTAAGACATGCACCTGCTGCTACCAAAAGTTTACGATACACCCATACTGCACTGGGCAGGCCTCCTACTAGGTGGACCGACGATCTGGTAAAGGTCGCGGGAAGAGCCTCGATGCGGGCAGCGCAGGACCGTTCATTGTGGAAAACCTTGGGGGAGGCCTTTGTCCAGCAGTGGACGTCATTTGTGTTGCATGGCAACACTAAGCTGTGGAATTTATATTTTGTGTAATGGCAATGTTTCTCTCTCTCTCGTCTCGGCTCCCACGAATACACAAGTGTCATATCTGAAGATTGTGTTTTAATCAAGAAACCCGCAGTATCCAGCCCTATATACACAAACCAGCGCGCGGCCGCGCCTCATGGTCCTTCGAGATATATAAGAAGATCTGTGGGTTGACCAGAAACCACTTGGAGGAAACGCAAGTATTCGCAATTTTGGGAAGCACAAGGACGCCATTTTCTTCGTTCATTCGTCGTTTGGGTCGCAATTCGCTCAGCATCCAATCAAGCAGCACGCAACAAATCGCAACCAGGTGGCGCTGTAACCGCAAACCCGATTCGTGCCGATTGTGGTGTCGACCATCGCCGAAGAAAGAAAAGGACGCAAAACTTGCAACAAGACCGAGTGCAAGCAGGACGGCAAGAACTTCAACAACACGTTCGTTCAACTTTGTTCATCGTTCGTGCAACACATTCGTTCACCCTTCGTTCAACATTCGTTCATCTGCCGCACCACGTGATGACCAACGCTACGTGCAACACACAGATATGGATAGATGCAGCATGTGTCAAAAATTGTATGAAGCCGAGCGTGCCACTTTTTAAACGTCATTAGTGTCATTTTAGCGAATTTTAGTGATTGCCGCAACGTAAAAGTAATCGTATCATCGTATTGCATTTGCAAAGTCATCGAATGATATCGTGCGACTCGATTCGAAATTTAATTAATTCCGATAAAACTGATAATTTGTAAAATACAAAACCAAAAACATCTTTATAAGAAGAGTACATCGCAGGATTTGTATTAAGGGGCCATCCATAAAGTACGTCACACGAATTTCATGATTTTTTGACCCCCCCTCCGTCCTTGTCACAGGTGGTCACATTTCTGAGACCCCCCCTCCCTAGTGTGACGTCACATGTTTTGCAATTTCACATCGAAAAATTATTAAATTAACAGCAGTTCCGAAATTAGTTTTATTTCCATTTAAATTAAGCACTTTTTTTATGAAATCAACATTATATCAAAAATTTTAAACAATTGAAATGTGATGTCACAAAACTTAGGACCCCTCCCACCCCTTGTCACACCATGTCACACTTTGTCAACCCCCTCCCCCCCTCTTTACGTGTGACGTACTTTATGGATGACCCCTAAAAACAATGCTACTTTATACTTCTTCTACTGCTACTTTATTCTAATTAATTATTTGTTACTTGTGCTGTTAATTACAATTCTCAATCCGTAAATAATTTCTTCTTTCTACCGTGTTCGTACTACTGTCCTCGTAAAATCATCGTAACCGATTGTTGTAATCGGATTACATGAACATCACTCGACCATGTATGTCCATTTGGACATATCGGAATGGCACGCTTTGACGATCAACTTGCTGTATCTACTCTAATCCATATCTGTGGTGCAACACCTTCAATCTCAGTTCATTCGCCAATTTTGCCATTTCCGCCATTTTGTGTTTCGCCCTTTTGTAAGCGGTTAAATTATTGTAATTGACGTAACTATTTTAAGTTAAGCATAGTTATAAGCGTGAATTTGTGTGAGAAGTTTATCCATTGTGGTGAAAAGGAAGTTTAAACATGGAGGAAGGATTAAAACAGAAAATTGCTTCGCGAGGTTACCTAAAAGGTACGATCACAAGATTGCTACAAGTTTGTGAACAAGATTTATCTTCACATTCAATCGAAATCTTAGAAGCAAAACGTGTCAGACTTGAAACATCTTTCGCAGCGTACGAAAAGCTCAACCAAGAAATATTGTACTTGGATGAAAATGACAGCGAAAACGTCGAAAAAACTGAAAGCAACTATTTCGCTATTCTAACAAAGCTAGACTCGGAAATAAAACAAAAGATGTCAACTTCCTCCATGCAAGCCTCCAAGTCACCTCACCATAATTTAACTAAGTTACCGCCAATTACAATCCAAACTTTCAATGGTAAGTTTACGGAATACGTTCCTTTTATTAATATCTTCACTTCCATGATTCACAATGACAATACCATAGACGAGATTCAAAAGTTTTATTACTTGCGTTCGTATTTGCGTGATGAGGCCTTCGACCTCATCAAAAATCTGCCTATTACTGCAGATAGCTACAATGTAGCTCTGGGCCTTCTCAGCAAGAGGTACGAAAATAAATACCGAATCACTGCAGAACATGTATCGCAATTATTAGATTTGAAATCAATTTCAAGGCCTTCTGCCACAAATCTTAGAGAATTTGTATGTGTAGTCCGTCAGCAAATAGCTGCTATTAAAAACATTGACCCTAATGTCATTTACTGGGACGCAATTCTTTTAAGTATTTCAATCCGCAAACTAGATAACTCAACGGCAAAGGCGTACCAACTTGGGCGCTGTATGGAAATGGAGCCCAAACTTGAAGATTTCTTGCTATTCATCGAGAAGCAAGCAATGGCGCTGGAGAATACTGAGCAGGGTCACACTTCCAGCAACAACAACAAGGTGGTGGTGACTCACATGACTACAGCAGCATGCGGATACTGTAAGTGCAATCACAAGTTATACACTTGCAAAAAGTTTAAACTTTCACCTACACAAGAACGAATGCAATTTGTAAGCATTAATAAACTGTGCAATATTTGCCTTGGTGCGCATCAGGGAAAATGCAGGTTCCATTTTAGGTGCTCAGTGTGCAAGAAACCTCACAACACACTGTTGCACAGCGATCAAGCTGCCCCCGCACCCCCTGTTTCTTTGACAGGCAACAATATATCTAATAACAATGTACTTCTTCCCACAGCAAGAGTTAAATTAGTGGCGAAGGATGGCACAGAGCTTCATGTCAAAGCTTTGCTGGACAGTGGCTCGCAAGTTTCATTTGTTACCTCTCATGTGG